ACGGAGAAAGTGCTCAAGTAATAAGTAAAAGACAAAGATAAAATATTTGAAGACCAAAGAAGAGAGCGAGAGTTTGTAACTGGCAACAGAACACTAGAATGCTTACAATATGTGTATTTAAGTCAGATATTCACAGGACACTCTACTTAAGAAAAGTAAATTCAGCAAAGAGTAAGGATAGGCTGGAACATTAAAAGCAGACATTCCTAAATCGTGACAGACAATTTACAACTGTCCCTAGAGTGGAAAGTGATGAGCTTTTGTATGCTGCCGGAGCTAACACCAGGTGTAGAAACTTGAATGATAGTAAAAAAAAAAGTCCAGAACAATCTCAGAACTATAGAACATATGATGTAACACAAAATGGTTGGCATAACATAGAGATACTAAAAAAGCAGATCTGATTAGAGAATAAACAAGTTTAGATGACTTTCTAGCTGACATATAGAAAAGGAAAAAGGTGGACCTTGGTAGCTCAAGCAATGTGAGGAAGAGAAAAATAACCAGTTGGAAAGATTCAGTGGCTACCAAAACTTGAGAAAAATAGCCGAGAGAGGCAGGGATGAGAGAGGCAGAGATGAGTTCATCAGATGATGAACTGAAAAATTTGCATGCATAAGATGGAATAAACTTGCACAAGGTTGGGTGAATAGGAGGTAATTGGGAAAAGCTTCTTTATAGCATGGGTCCTAAAGGCTGATATACGAGAAGAGTATGCAACATCGAGCTATTGCACATCGAAGGTTGGTTTAATACCGAATGGTTAATCAACTCGCATCACAAGTGCTACTCTCGTTTTACGTAGACACATATCTAAGCGTAAGCGTATGCACGTTCTCGCATTCCGGCTTTATAAAAAAAATGCTGCGGTGCATGGAACCAGCGAAACTCCGCTCACAATTTTATTTGATTAATGCTGTTCTATATTTCTGTAAAATTCGTCCGCCGGCACAAAAGTCGCTCCTGTGTCTTGTAATAAGAATATTGTAAGAAAGGCAACCTTTTATGTCTAGGTACAAAACACCCTTACGTTCCCCACTATACCGGGCTCGATTACACCGGATTAGTTGAGTAGCAGCGCAGCTTCATTATCATGTAAGGTAAGTGGTCGCATTTAACAGGGGAAGATATTTGAGGCACATTTTCAAATATTTCATGCATTTATGCGTGGTTTTATTCATGTGGTGCACCTGGAGTGTTATTTACTTGTACTTGGCGAGATAGTGTATGGATTATTGCTCATGGCCATGAAGATCTTTTTTAGTTGCGGTCAATGATGAAGCGCGAGAGCTTAGCTTTGCGCTGCACACGAAGGCGTCTGCTTCAACGCGGCATCGCGTAAGCGCTGTAGCAGACGCCCACAGAAATGAAACAGATGCAGCAAATTATTGGTTATCATCGTGTACTCTCGATGCTAGACGCTTCGCGTGCTACCTTGATATTATCAGCACACGCTGCTTTCTTTCTTTGTCGTTTCATAGGCTATCGTGCCTCCTCCTCGCCCTCTTAAGTGCCGAATAAGTTAAATTTGTACCCGCGCTCTAGTAATCTCTCCATAGAAAAGAATTCTTGGCTAATAAAATGCGTAGTTAAGAGAAAGCTTTGTGAATTCGGCCCCAGTTTCCTGCTTGAGCAGCAGTGTTGCAGTCCCTTGCGAAATCTGTGTCTTTCTGCGTTAAAAAAGTGCTAGAAGGAGGAAGAAGGTAAAGGACGGCTGGTCGGTCAGCTGGGATGAGGTCCGGTTTGCTAATACACTGAATAGAGAGGGGGCGACGAATGACCGAAGGGATTAAAACTAGAAAGAAGAGGTAGGCAGGTACTGTCACAGTATTTGTGCACCTGTCCATTGCATAACGCTTAACACGACTGATTTTAAGAACACTATAAATGACCATGTCGTTTTGATAGCATTAGAAGTGCAGGGCCATGATTTGAGGATCATTGTTTCCAAAAAATAAAAACTTTCTGTCACCTACTTCGTTGCGGGGCAGTGTAAAAACGTTGCGTTCAGGCACAGAGCGATCACAAAAACACAGTACACATTCTATCGTTTCGTCACTGCTGTGCGAGTCACACCTGTAGGTCCATACCATTTATATGCAAAATAGTGTGCTTCCACAAAAGCCACACATAATGATATGGGGTACAGTACACACTGTGTGCGTTTACAAGCACATAAGAAATGAAAACCCACCTTGCCTAATAAGTCATCCTTCTTGATTTTCTTAGCCTTGTTAAATGAGGCTGATACCTACTGTAAGGACGTGTCCAATAAATTAGTCGATTATTGCAATATACTCTGCTGATTTATTAATTTTGGACCTTTTTAAAAAATACCCATGTTAAACAAAGTAAGTAATGTATTTTTTCAACCCGTTACAATTTAGCCAGGCATTTTGCTGTTCGCTAGGTTGCTGTTCACTGGTTGCTTGAGAGAGTACCAGGCGCAGGTTCAGAGCTTTGGTAGCTCCGGAAACCTTGCTAGTGACTGCACAGGATGCCCCATCAAACATGAGTTTCCCCCATACGTGTGCTTTACAAAAATAGCCCAAGAAAAGGTATGGTAAAAGTCGACGCTTTTGTGATACATAAAAAAAGTCAAGAGCTAAGTTAGTGCAGTTTATAAGCACAGAACATTGGGCGAGTTTGTGCTGATCCATGAAGGTACTTAGGAGCGCAAAAACCAAACAAACAAGATGCACGAGAACGACTGAACAGGAAGAGCGTTGAAGATATCACTCGTACTGTTTAGTCCTTCTTGAGCACCTTCTCGGTTTTGCGATCCTAAGTGCCTTAACAGTTATAACTGCGTCCTTTTTCTCAGTCTCTAAATAATATACAAAACGTGCTACTTCAAACCTATGCTGCACAATCTGCAATGCGTGATAAGAGGAAATTATTTTTTTAATATTAACGGTATTTGTTGAAGTTTAGCAGCCATGTTGCCTGCTTTGTGTGGTGTCCGAAACTTAATTTAACAAACCAAGCTTTGTGCTTCACTCACAAAGAACTTTCTTGCTATCCTAAAATCAATCAAAACCCGCTTGAAGTTCCTTCCTACTTAACTTGTTAGGTCATCTCTAAAGAAAAGCGAGTGACACTCGATGGTAGTGATAGCTAGATCATTTTTCTACATTGTGCAATGCAATACGTTATTTAGATACCAATAACAAGTTTTTCACAGAAAATTATATAGAGTATCGCAGTTCTATGTCAGTAAGGCAGGTTTACATTTGATCTACCCTATACGTGGTAGTCGCCCAACAGGCAAGTTGTGCCTTGATAATCTTGACGACAGGTGTTCCATTTCCGGCCGTGGCGTGGCCATGGTGACAGCATTTAGAAGGGGACGAAATGCAATGAACATCTGTACACTTAGATTTAGTCTACCGTTAGAGAATTTTAGATGGTCGATACTAATCCTGGATACCCCACTTTGGTACGCCTCCTAATCATATCGTGGTTTAGGCATGCGTAGA